CGTTTTACTTACCTGCTTTCAATGGTTAGTTTTAGGGCATTTTCAATTAGCATACCTTATGCTTTGCATGCATGCATGCATCCATTCATCTGTATTGCATGCACCGGGCTCGATGCATCATACTAACTGCATTGTATTTCAATTTCAATTTGAATACATGTTATCAACTGTTGCATCTCATATGCCATCTTTGAATAGCCGAGCCTATTTCTAGTTGCATTTTGCATGTGTTGTATTAGCCATCTTTAACGTGAACTAGGATCATGCATTGATTTCTAACTAGTTCTTTGTTTTGACTCGGAGTACACTGTGAGTGTTTACACTTTATCATCTTGCATAAGTGTGAGTGTTGCCATGATAGCATGCTTACCATGAGGCTATTTGCTTACATGATATAACTGCCTGAATGCCTGTGAGTGAATGTTGAATTGCCTGAATTGGAATAATTCTTTGAAATCCTCGATTTAGCCTACTTGTGAGTAGCAAACTTCCAAACCATTTTCAAACAAATGGATGTGCAATGTTTTGTTCCAAATTAGGCGATCTAGTCTATACTTGTATGTTGTGCGCATCACGTAGTAAGATTAGCTAATTAACCGGAATAAGAGCACATATGTTTTCAAAACAATATATCATGCTTAGTACATGTCGATCTTTAATCGGGCGAGCGGGGGTGCTCATTGCATGACTTTCCCCTTTCGTACCCAAGTTCCCGAACCGAGGCAACTTTGGTGATGACGGACACGTGGCCTTAGGCACGAGTCAGGGTTTCCTAAATTTCCCCCAAAACAAAATATTTAGGTGACGACTCTGTATCTGGCAAAGCATTCCATGTTTGGCACTTCTTTACAAAAAATCAGTTTTCCAAAACAATTTGCCGGATTTGGACTATTTGGTGATTTATCGGTCTTGCATTGCACTTTGTGAGATTCGATTCAGAACCGTGACATTTGAGTCCGAACTATAGTAGCAATGCCCAATTTTCCCGGGCGCGTCTATAGGTGGCCTTGTTTTAGAATTGCCGACTACAGCAGGTTAGCCGAGATGATAACAGTCACGCTGATGCCCTGGCCAACCTGGCTAGTGCAATACAACCTGGAAAGGCAAAGACGATAATTGTTGACTACTTGCCTGGTCCAAGCATAGAACCACTGAACACAAAGCGTGAAGCAATGTGTGTGGAGATGGGACCAAGTTGGATACACGCAATAATAGCATTCCTTAAAGACGGGAAGCTGCCTGATGACCAAAAAAAAGCGCACAAGATCAGACTGAAGTCAGCAAGATTCAGTTTGACCCCAGAAGGACACCTCTACAGAATATCATTTACTGGACCCCTTCTGAGGTGTGTGCATCCTGCACAGGTTGAAGATTTTCTATACGAGATACATGAAGGAATATGTGGAAGCCACGCTGGGGGCAGGTCACTTGCCCACAGGGCCATTACTCAAGGGTACTGGTGGCCCTATATGCAGAAAGATGCCAAAGCTTATGTGAAGAAGTGTGAGAAGTGCCAAAAGTTTTCACCTTTGATACATCAACCAGCAGCCGACTTGAACCCAGTATCCAGTCCTTGGCCATTTGCCCAATGGGGCATGGATCTTGTCGGAAAACTACTTCAAGCAACTGGACAAAGAAAGTACTTACTAGTGGCAAAAGATTATTTCACCAAGTGGGTAGAAGCTGAACCCCTTACCAAGATTCGAGACATTGATGTGAAGAACTTCATATGGAAGAACATCATTTCCAGGTTTGGGATTCCAAGAGCAATAGTTGCAGACAATGGAACACAATTTGACAGTAAGCTAATCAAAAGCTTATGTGCAAAGTTCAAAATCAAGAATTACTTTTCAACCCCAAGTTTTCCTCAAAGCAATGGACAAGCAGAAGCGTCCAACAAAGCTATCTTGGATGAGATAAAGAAGAGGCTGCAAACAGCAAAGGGAAAGTGGGTAGATGAATTGCCCAGTGTACTCTGGGCACATCGGACTATGCCGAGAAGATCAACGAGGGAATCCCCGTTTGCCATGGCTTATGGCACAGAAATAGTCATTCCACTGGAGGTCGACATCCCAGGGATCAGAACCCAGGCAGTGGAGAATGGAACTAACGATGTATTTTTAGCCCGAGACCTAGATCTTCTAGAAGAGAGAAGAGAGAAAGCAGTAATTCAGCTAGGGACATACCAGCAGCAGCTTACCAGGGCTTACAATAAAAAGGTGAACCCACGAGAGTTCCAAGTTGGTGACCTTGTCCTGAGAAAGGTCGTCGGCAACAAGAAAGATCCCAGAGAAGGCAAGCTTGACCCAAATTGGGAAGGACCCTATAAAATCATCTTGGTCTTGGGCAACGAGGCATATCGGCTTGAGGATTGCGAAGGCAAAGAGCTACCAAGACCCTGGAATACATGCAATCTGAAATTTTTTTATCATTAGACTTTCTTGTTCTTTGTTATTAGCCAAAGTAATAATAAAATTCTAGCTTGATTTTTTTACACTCATGACTGATAAGACACTTGACGATGTCTCTAGAATACATGCATAATGAGAACCCAAGTCGAACTTAAGTTCATATTAGGGGGCAGAGAGTTGGGAAATGGTTCCTGGAAAGGTAGAATTTACAAACTAAAATTAGTTTAACGCTTGTTAAAATTTAAGTTTACAAGTTGAAGTTAAACCGATGTCATGTTTAACGCTTGTTGAAACTTAAGTTTACAAGTTGAAGTTAAACTAAGGTCATGTTTAACGCTTGTTGAAATTTAAGTTTACAAGTTGAAGTTAAACCTAGGTCATGTTTAACGCTTGTTGAAACTTAAGTTTACAAGTTGAAGTTAAACTAATGTCATGCTTAACACTTGTTGAAATTCAAGTTTACAAGTTGAAGTTAAACTAAGGTCATGTTTAACCTTGTTGAAATTTGAGAAAAATTTACAAGTTGAAGTTAAGCCGAGGTCATGTTTAACACTTGTTGAAATTTGAGAAAAGATTACAAGTTGAAGTTAAACCGAGGTCATGTTTAACACTTGTTGAAATTTAAGAAAAATTTACAAGTTGAAGTTAAACCGAGGTCATGTTTAACACTTGTTGAAATTTAAGAAAAATTTACAAGTTGAAGTTAAACCGAGGTCATGTTTAACACTTGCTGAAATTTGAGAAAAAATTACAAGTTGAAGTTAAACCGAGGTCATGTTTAACACTTGCTGAAATTTAAGAAAAATTTACAAGTTGAAGTTAAATCGAGGTCATGGTTAAACACTTGTTGAAATTTTTTAGAAAAATTTACAAGTTAAGCCAAGGTTGTAACAAAAAAAAGTACTTGCGTACTTGCCGAGATGAAAGCGTTGGTTTGTTTAAAGAAGGTGTTATTCCCCGAGGAGATTGCACAACCAAGGTGTATATTGATAATTGCATTCAGATAAGAAAGTTCAATTACAAAAAGGCACTTCGGCGTGACATTAAAAGTAGTTGTTTAGATTGCAAAGGTGGAATGTCGGTCAAATTAAAGCTTACATTGCTTTAAAGAGAAAGAAAAAAGTACAAGGTACAGAACAAAAGGAGAAAAACATTAAACTAAGACTTTTCGGCGTCTCTGGCTGGTTGGGTCTGGAGTTCAGAAGACAGTTGAGAAGACATCTTGTCGATCCTCTCAGTCGCGAGCTCGACATCAATTTCTTGAAGAGTTTGGTCGAGGCTATTGTCGACAATAGGCGTGCCCGATATTGACTTCTCAGGAGGAGCGTCTTTTGACACCTCACATTCCTCATCCTGAGTCAAGTCCAAGACTTGCTCATTCAGAGTAGGGGATTTGGCCCCAGTAGCTTCCTTCGGCTTCCTGACCAAAGCTTCCTCCTCAGACTCAGAATCGTCTTCAGATTGGCTTGGAGTAGGGGGGAATGGCAATGGGAGGTCGCCGGCATTCTTGATCGGGGAGTTCTCAGGGACATCTAGCTTTTTGAGGGCAACCATCTAACCAAGGGTAAAATCCTTGTTGCATGCCTGCTTCACTTGCTTCTTGTAGTCCTCATTGACGTCGGTCGCCCCCTCGGCGTACACCTTTTCATCAGCAGCCTTGATCTCGGCCTCTTTGGTGGCCAAGGCATCTTGAAGCTCCTTTTGGGCCTCGACCATCTTTTCTTCGGCTTCTTTTTTTTCGACCGTAAGGACCTTGGCAATGGCCTCGGCAGCATTAGCCTTTTCCTCTGCCTGATCCTTAGCTCTAATGGCTGTTGCGGCCTGGTCTGATAAAGTTTTCATCTTGGCCTCAGTCTTCTTGATGGTCTTTTGCAAACCAGAGACCTCCCTGATCTTGTCGGCCAACTCCTTCCTCATTTCAAAAGCCTGCATTGAAAAAGAGTGAGCGTGCTAGATCGCCTGAAAGAAAATGAACAGAACAAAAGTTCGTTGAAGTTCTAAAAGTATGGAAGAATAGAGAAAGAAAGATACCAAGTGTAAGGAACTTACTTGAACGGAATGCTGTAGCATCAAAGCGAAGTTTTCATACTCGCTCATCTCGGTGTTACGATCGAGATCTTCAAGAAGGAGCAAGGCTGTTGTACGGGCAACGCCGACGTTAATATCGATGACGTTGTCACTTACTCTGACCGGCCTGTCTTCCATTGTGATTTGGGGAGCCCAGGGGGAGTCAGACTTCAAAGAACCTGAAGCTGTCGCCGACTCTGACCTCGGCCTCTTAGACCGAGTTGATTAAGATGGTTCAGCCTCGGCGGGCCTCTTTTCGGGGACGGAGGCAGTCTTCCCGCTCTCGGTCAATTTCGAAATTGGCAAAGTGTCCTCAGTGTCAATCTGAGTCACCGTTGCCTTAGGTTGGGCCTTTTTCATTCTTTTGGGTTTTGATTTTGGTTGAGGCTGGGGTTGTGCTGGTTGAGCTGTGACGGTATCAGGGATATCGGCCAGGAGATCTTCTGGAACTGCCTTTATGCGACCCATCTCGGCAGGAATTACAGTTCGGCATTGGCGTCGACGTTGGGATGGAAGGATCAGCTATGGAGTTGAGGTAGGTGGCTGTTCTGCTGGATCTGAAGTTGGCCCCTGATCTGGCCGAGATGATAAAGTCACTGGTGGAGTTGTGGCGGAAGGAGGAGACTTGCTTTTCTGCTTCCTTGGGGTGTCGGGAAGTTCCGACTTGTAGGTTGGGATGAAGTTGAGCAGTAAAGGAGCTCTCGACTTGTGGACTGGCAGATCTAACAACTTCTTAAGATCCTTGCTGGGAAAGAAGGACTTACGGAAGTCTTTTGGTGGTTGTGGTAGGGCTGCGAGAAAAACAAACGTTAAAACATATGGAAAGAATAGAGAATTAAAAGACTTGGAAAAAATACAACACTTGGCTTTTACCAGTACCCTCTACGAATACTGTTCAGCTGAGAGGGAAGAGGTGAAGGTCGTCATCTGGAGCAAACTCCCAGTTGCCGAGACAATAACGTAATCATCCCCGGCTCCCTTGTTGGAGTCTGGGAGGTCGGCAACAAGTTTGTACTCGGTGGACCTCTGCTTGAGGTAGTAGATATAGCCTTTTTCTAACTTGAGGCCACACATGATGTAGCAATATTGAATGTCGGCCAAGGTTACCCTAGCTTTTTCTTGGCGTGCTAAGGCAATTATACCATTTGTACGGGGAGCAAATATTCCGGCAAGCCCGTACTCCTTTCTTCCGAGCTCCGTTTATGTCCGATCACCTGCGCGCAAATAATGGTGAGCTACCCGGCGGTGTGTGGCCGGAAAAACCCTCTGACGATCAAGTTAGCACACACCTTAGGATAGAGAGAGAGAGAGAGGGGTGTTTGAGTGTAAGAAATTCCTTACAAAGTGTTCGTCTGTTCGCGTATGGGGGGCGCAGACCCGCTTATATACCTTCTGCGCCCCACTTAATTAGAGGAGTTGGATTTCAGAAAGAAGTGTTTTGGAAGGGTTTAAGGGACCTCGGCTAAAACCTAAAATTGTACTATAGTAAGAGTTTATATGGATCTAAAGGGAATTCGTGTCAGTTTTTCCTAAAGTTTGTGAGTTTTATAGACAAAATCCCAATCCTAAGTCTAGGCAAGCGAAGATTGAAGGCAAGAATCTGGAAAAAACACGGCAAACAGAAACATGAATGCGATTCAGAGTCAAGAACAATGATGAATCATCGAGAACACGGTGGTAAAGCTTGTGCAGGTGTGTGAAGCCAAAAATAGTGGCAAAAATCAACAGATATGTAAGCAATGTGAGTATTCAGGAAAGGATTAGGAAAAAAAAGAATCACGAAGTAAACATGCTCAAACACATGGTAGCAATCGAGGTACAGATTAAACGATCAGAGACATGAGCAAGTTCGCAAAAATGATAGAGTTTGAGGTAAATCAAGAACTAAAACCAGGAGGAACAGTGGCTTACCAGAAAAAGTGAGGCCAGTGTGAGGATCGCCGAAGTCAGACGACGATTGCAAAAGTGACGGAGCAGTAAAAATCTCACCGGAAGAGGTGAATGGAGCAAGTTGCAGAGCTAGAAAAGCTTGAACAATGATAGACTAGAGAGAGAGAGAGAAAGTTGGATGATTCAGAAACGATAAATGCAAAAAGTAAAGAGACGGAGAGAGAGAATTGATTTTGATCGAAATGCGGAGAATGGCAGCAAAATACCATCAATACGTCTAGGGCGACGTGCTTGTCAAACGGCGCACCTAGACACAAGACAACTTACAGGCGCGTATTGAGTACGATCCAGTGAGGGAAAGATACGTGGCAAAAACGGTTGATTTATTTTACGTGACAGCTCATACGTGTAATAAAACTCTTAGAGTTCTTGGTTTAATGAAGCAATGACCTCGGTTGATAGGAAGATCTCGGCTACATAACTCGAATAAACTAGGTTATTGGTTCTAAAAACCTTGATGAGACAGACTACAAGACCTGGTCATGTGAAGCCGACGTATTATGACCTTGGTAAATGGATGATACAGCAAGATAGCCGATATGCTATACGATATGGCGATATAGGTTCCATCACCTCAGGATGCGGAGGTAATAGAACCTAGGGGGCAGTTGTGGGGACATATTTTCTGAGTACCAACACGTGGCCAAGGTGACGCCGAAGTGTCAGCCGAGGTGCCACGTGTCCTGGTCATGATGCCGAGGTGATCTCAGCTAGGCCGAGGTTATCTCCAAAGATATCGGAGTCTGGGATTAGCGGATAAAGGACAAGAGTCCTAGATTGAATGGGACTTCAGTTTGGGTAAAGATGAGACTCTTAGAGAGTTTATCCCAATCCTACTAGGAGTCCAAGATTAGCAGTAATCCTAAGTCCATTGAAGCTAGGCTTCTATTGGGACTAGGATTGTGTTGGCTATAAAAGGGAGGTAGCCCCATGGGTCAAAGGTACGCAATTTATATTCTGAATAGTGAGTTAAGCTATTTTTCTATCTTGAGAGATAACTAACTTGATCATCGGAGCACCCCGGGTGGACGAACCACCGCCAGAATCTCTTCTTTCTGTTGCAAGTTATTCGGAGCTAATCTATTCTGCCAGTGCACTCCAGCTAAGCACTAATTTGGCAGTGTGGTCAGAAATTGACACACACAGTAGACTTGTATGAAAAGGGTTTATTGGGTAAAGACTCGCATGTGATGTTTGCACTACGATAATTGCTTGTGGTTGTGGTATTAGTACACTTATCATGAGTATGCTTTGATTCACATGAACACACTATCATAGCAGTGACCTCTCTATTATAATCCCTAGTGTACATCATTGATAATTGCTAGGGTTGTAGAAAAGAATAATTGATAATTGCTAGGGTTATAGAAAAGAATAAATGATAATTGTTAGGGTTACAGAAAAGAATAAATGAGCCTAAAAAAAAAATTGACTTGTTTGGGTTCGTAGCCTCTTTAACTCGAGTTATTAAGCCCAAAGGGGTGTCTCCATACCTAGTGCCCTAAAACCGTCTAGTTTGGGAGTCATTAGCCCAATACTTGTTACATGGGTTAATTAGAAAGCTTAAGGGCCCTAGACATTGCACAGTCAAGGAAAAATAAGGAAAATGACTTGTTCATGTTCATAACCTTTTCAGGTGGAGTTATTAAGCCCGTAGGGGTTTCTTCACACCTAGGGCCTTAAAACCGTCTGGTTTGGGAGTTATTGGCCCAATGCCTGTTGCATAAGTTGATTAGAAAGCTTAATGGATCATGACATTGCATAGTCTTTCAAAAAAACAAAAACTAAAAAAAAAATAAAAAAAATAAGAATCTTAGTTGCAAAAGTTTAGTTTTTCTGTATATGTTGGGTGTTATTGTGAGTTATGCTAGGCTATTATAGTGGACAGTTAACTAGTTATGAGGATTGTACTTTACACCAAGGGTATCGATGATGTGTTTACCAGCATTCACAAGTACATGGAACTTAATTTTTGTAATGCTGAATTACAATCTTTGCTCAATAGATTTCTTCATGCTTGTCTACTGTGCCTTCAATGACTCAGCATGTCTTAATATTGCACTGTAGTAGCACATAAGTTAATTCTTGAGTGGTGTAGTGTGATTAATTGTTGTTAGGAAGATGCAAATATGTTAATGTTTGTAGGTATCATTTCTAGAAATCCTTACAAGACTGTACTCATCCGCTTGGGGTAACTTTGTAAGTTAAAGGCTTGTTGCATAAGTTAAATGCAATCGTTCTTCCCACGAAAGAAAAGGTAGCTAGATTTTGTTTAATTTTGTTTTTCTTTCTTTATTCCTTGCTTGAGGACTAGCAAGTTGAAAGTTTGAGGATGTGGTTGAAGTCGAATTGTATAACACTGAGGCCGATAACTAGGATCTCTTAACTTTACCTGTTTTATGTCTGTTTAATGTCAATCAGGTTGGATACAGTGGGAGCATAAAATGAGCAAAAATGCATAAGTTTTAGAGAAAAATGCTTCTTGTACGTGCGGAGAACCATTCCCACACATGTGGCCCATCCATCACAGCCAAATAGAGCCTAAGGAAATCGCACGTACGGAGGCCCATTCCTACACGTGCGGAACCCTCGCTGCACGTGTGATGGAATTTCCTGCACATGCAGCCATACCTTGGAAAGCGTGCCTGATGTTTTGAATGTGGGGAAAATTACAGAGGTATAAAAAGACAGAAAAAAGGCTGGCCAGGGGTTTTGAAAAATTCCAAAAGAAAATAGGGACTAGGGTATGGAAAAGAAGATTCTCGAACTTCAAGGATAATTTTCATGGAGACTTCTTCTTCTTTTATTTCTTCCTTATAACGCCCCGAAATAAATACCATAAATCCATCCAATTCCATATGTAAATAACAATATGAATCAGAGTATAATGTTCTTTTATTTCATGAGAGTTAATAGTACAAAAGATTTTAATTAAATAAATTCCCTATAGGCTTACATCTTTCCAAGACCATGCTTGGTTACAACAAAAGCGGATACAAATCCAATACATGTAAAGCCCTTGGCTTGAATCAAAACAACAGTATAATACACAAAAGAGAAGCCTTCAGCCTCGATTCCTCCCAAACTATTGCCTTAGCAAAGGCATATCACCAACACCTGAAAAGGTTTTTCCCAAATAGGGTGAGCCAAAACCTAGAAGGAACAATCTAACACAATATATGAATCTTAACAAAGATATGTGTATGATATGCATATCCAATACCCATGATAAAATCATTTATAACTCTTTTACAAAACCATGCCCTGGCAAGATTTATATTTCAATTCATTTTATCTCATTTCATAAGCCATTCACCATTTCACTCAAACAACCAAACCGAGGGTATAACTCAGTGGGTCTTTAACCAACACAACCATTATACAAATACTTCCATTTTTCCATTTTACAGATATTTCATCCGTGGAAATCAACACCTATGTATATGTGCAGTTTTCGAGACTTTCACCCTAGCCAATTTAATTCAATAGAGTCCATTCCCTTTCTTCTCCCAAGCATGGAGTACATCATTTTCTGCTCCCAAACATGCAGTACATCCCCTTTCTTCTCCCAAACATCATTCATATACAATGTATTGAAGATATAGTCACATTCAATGACAACGAATAAGAGATTAGTTTCAATTCACATAATCCTTGTGCAAACCACTAATAAGGATATTAAATGAACCATTATGAAAATTTAATGGACACTAACCCTTGGTTTCCAAACACAACCAACGTGTTTTAAACCTACCCAACACGACCCAAGACTCATATACAAAGAGTAAAGGATGGAAACTAGAAAAAGACAACAACACATCCACGGAACCGAGTCTGAAATACAATTAAACAATGAAAGGAAAACTGGGATCGCTATAACAAGTTTGGTTGGCAGAAATTTAATTTCAGCGACTAAAAAATATTTTAGTCATTGTATAGATAGTTTTGGCAACTAAAATAATTTAGTCGCTGAATGAAAAATAAAAATTTATTTTTTATCTTTTGTGACCAAAAGTTTGGTCGGCAGAAATTTAATTTCAGCGATTAAAAAATATTTTAGTCGCTGTATAGATAGTTTTGGCAACTACAATAATTTAATCGTTGAACGAAAAATAAAAATTTACTTTTTATCTTTGGCGACCAAAAGTTTGGTTGGCAAAAATTTAATTTCAGCGACTAAAAAATATTTTAGTCATTGTATAGATAGTTTTGGCAACTAAAATAATTTAGTCGCTGAATGAAAAATAAAAATTTATTTTTTATCTTTTGTGACCAAAAGTTTGGTCGGCAGAAATTTAATTTCAGCGATTAAAAAATATTTTAGTCGCTGTATAGATAGTTTTGGCAACTACAATAATTTAATCGTTGAACGAAAAATAAAAATTTACTTTTTATCTTTGGCGACCAAAAGTTTGGTTGGCAAAAATTTAATTTCAGCGACTAAAAAATATTTTAGTCATTGTATAGATAGTTTTGGCAACTAAAATAATTTAGTCGCTGAATGAAAAATAAAAATTTATTTTTTATCTTTTGTGACCAAAAGTTTGGTCGGCAGAAATTTAATTTCAGCGATTAAAAAATATTTTAGTCGCTGTATAGATAGTTTTGGCAACTACAATAATTTAATCGTTGAACGAAAAATAAAAATTTACTTTTTATCTTTGGCGACCAAAAGTTTGGTTGGCAAAAATTTAATTTCAGCGACTAACAAATATTTTAGTCATTGTATAGATAGTTTTGGCAACTAAAATAATTTAGTCGCTGAATGAAAAATAAAAATTTATTTTTTATCTTTTGTGACCAAAAGTTTGGTCGGCAAAAATTTAATTTCAGTGATTAAAAAATATTTTAGTCGCTGTATAGATAGTTTTGGCAACTACAATAATTTAATCGTTGAATGAAAAATAAAAATTTACTTTTTATCTCCGGCGACCAAACTTTTGGTCGCCAAAAATTTAATTTCAGCGACTAAAAATATTTTTTAGACGCTATATAGATAGTTTTGGCAGCTAAAATAATTTAGTCACTGAATGAAAAATAAAAATCTACTTTTCATCTTTGGCGACCAAAAGTTTGGTCGGCAAAAATTTAATTTCAACGACTTTAGTCACTATATAGATAGTTTTGGCAACTAAAATAATATAGCTGCTGAATGAAAAATAAAAATTTACTGTTTATCTTTGGCGACCAAAAGTTTAGTCGGCAAAAATTTAATTTGTGCGACTAAAAAATATTTTAGTCGCTGTATAGATAGTTTTTGCAACTAAAATAATTTAGTCGCTGAATGAAAAATAAAAATTTACTTTTTATCTATAGCGACCAAAAGTTTGGTCGGCAAAAATTTAATTTCAGCGACGAAAAAATATTTTAGTCGCTGTATAGATAGTTTTGGCAACTAAAATAATATAGTCGCTGAATGAAAAATAAAAATTTACTTTTTATCTTTGGCGACCAAAAGTTTGGTCGCCAAAAATTTATTTTCAGCGACTAATAAATATTTTAGTCGTTGTATAGTTACTTTTGGCTGCTAAATTTATTTAGTCGCTAAATGGAAAACAAAAATTTACTTTTATATTTGGCGACTAAAAGTTTGGTCTCCAAAAATTTATTTTCAGCGACTAAATAAATTTTAGTCGTCTTATACCAACTTTTGCCGACTAAAAGAAATTTAGTCGACAAATATCTAGTATAATTTTATTTTTAATCTTTGGTGACTACCTCATTTGATCGGCAAATATACATTTTTGGTGACTAAAACACATTTAGTCGGCAATAAAACTCAATTTTTTTTGTGGGAACACATACTGCCCAATTTGAGTTTATGTTTAATTTTATTATTATTATTATTATTATTATTTATTATTATAATTTTATTTTTTATTTATTATCATTTTTGAGGGATTTTTAAATTAATTTGGTGAGAAACTCTGGAGGGATTTCAAACACACTAAAATGAGTTAGGGCTTAAACACGTCTCTCTCTCTCATCTGCTCTCTTTCGATTCTCTCACGCCTCTGTCTCTCACATTCCATCACTCGCCAAGGCCGCCCTTTCTGGGTTTTCAACCTTGTGAGCTTAGTTTTTATTATTTCAAATTTTTCATGCTCTAACTTTTGCCTAGGTCGCCTTTCGGGTTTTCGGCCTAGCAAGCCACTCAAGGAAAGTATTTCTTCAACTTTTCCATGTTGATCGGCAGGGAGAACTCTAGGCCATCTAGCAGGGACGGAACCAGGATTTCTTTTTTGGGGGGACCAAAATATTTTTTTTTATTTAAATTTTATATCAATTGATATAAACAATTCTATTTCAATTAAAGAATGAAAAATAAATTAATATTTAATACTAAATTAATACGTAAAAAATAAAATAAGTTTCTATTTGAACAAAAGAATACAATTTGTTAAAAAATCATCATCCATTTTGTTACAACACGTAACTTTAACAATTTTCTTCATAATTATAGTAGTAACTAAAAGAGTAAACACAAATGCAATACTTTGCAAACAAGTGGATAGATTGTTTCATTTTTTAGTCCTTCTCAACCATTGACGCAAAATTTTTGTAATCTCTTTAGTTCTCAATTGTATTTTCTTATGATCCGTGAAGTTTTGAAGATAAAACTTTTCTGTAATCAACTCTCATTCACTTTAAATTTTTTATTTAGTCTTTTTTTTATTATTGTAATAAAATTTGCTCTACATTTTTTGTATAACAATAATATTCATGGTCATAATAGGCAATGTCTTGGAAAGAATGACTCAAATTTATTTGTGAGATGTCAAGCCGTTGAAAATTTTGTTATTTAAATGAGACTAGTAATGTTTCTTTTGGTTATTCCAAATCGTAATGCACAATATGCACTTATTTGAGAATTTCTCTTTTTCGTATGTGTAATGTGAGTTATCTAATTTTTCACGTAATAATTTACACATGCATCTACATAGTGTGGAATAACATTTCTCTTTTTATATCCTTATGTTTTGGTTCATTGATTTGGAAAGAGAAATAAAAAAAAAAAGATAAATAAATGAAATATAATTATATTTTACTTACATTGTACACAAATTTTCTCTTTTTCTTTTCAAATTTATAAACCAAATACAACCTAAAAATATGAGACGATGCTACAACCTGAGGATCCTTCTTACCAAACTCTGATTGTCTTGCACGGTCTTCTGCATATTTCCCAGTAGGTCTATCCTGATTAGTAATTCCAGTAGGAAGAAGTTGCAGCTGCATATCAAGGGGCGGTGGAGCAATGGCTTGAAGTAGTTCTTGTGGAAGAGTTGCTTCTCCTTTCTGTCAATACACCGAAAAGAAAGGATTCCCTTCAACATTTGTGCAGCAAGTCCAAGGAACTTTATGAATCCTTAGAACAAGTAATAAGGTAGCTAATGCACAAGTGTGTGCGCGGATGGATAGGCAGGGCAGGGTAGAGTATGCAAACCATCAGACGTCTGAATTCCAATAGGTGTATTTCAAAAACATGCAGTTGCTGTTTGGTAAATCAAGTATTATGTTGGTGTATCTGGGGCACCACTCCAGATACAACATGAGTGAGTGGATATGAAGCATGGATGCTTCTAAAAGGGAGTCATCCATATCGTACACATCGGATACTGATACTTCTCAGATACTCTCAAACACATATCCCACACTTCTCGGATACATATCCGATACTTCCTAAATGTATCCAATACTTGATGTCAATTTTTTAGAAGTATCAGATACTTTATGGATGCTCTAGGTCACATATCCAAATTATTACAAAATGGAAATTGTAGTCATTTTTAAATATTCTTAGTGCATAATTGTTAGAATAAATAAAAGAATAGTTTTTCAATATTTGCTCATTTCTTACCAAAGAAGAAAATAATGAGATCAAAATAGTACTCTACTTTTTCAAATTCTATCAAATTAGCTTATCCACTAAAAAGATAAATAAATATATAAATAAATTGACTATTGGCTCTTAAATTAACATCTAATACCTAAATAATGGTTTCTCACTATTCTTTGAGTAAATGTATAATAATATAATGCTAAAAATTATGTGAAAAAAATTTCATATAACTAAATTTTGTCATATCCATTTTTTCAGATTTTGTGGTATCACTATATCCGTATATCATATTGAGCCATTATGTATTCCATATCCTATCCATGCTTCATAGGTGAGTGGTAAGTCCAAGGAACTTTATGAGTTTTTTAGAATTAGTAATATAAGGTAGTGATTGCATGAGTAAGTGTGTGCATGGATGGATAGGTGAGGCAGGGTACAGTTTGCGAACCTTTATACGTCTGAATGCCAGTATTTGTACTTTAAGTACATGAAGTTGCTGTTTGGTAAATCCTGTACGATGTTGTATCTGAGGCACCATTCCACCCTGAGCTGATATGGGATTTCCCAAGCCTCCATCAATAGATGAAGCTGCAGGTTGTGGAGAAGATCGGTTCAATTGCCTAGCATATTGCATTTGCAAAGCTTCTGCACCAGTTAATGAGCTTTTTGTATGGGATGAGTTATCCATGCCCTGGTTCAAGTTCACAGATGACTGCGGGGGATGCATGGGAGGCACTCCATTACCAACCATCATTGTCTGTCTTGGAGGCGCATGGTTCTCTCTTCCGTGAGCAGGAAACTGCTGCACCAACACGTTGTTAGCATTGTTGAGTGTCGCAGCATTTGAAGTTGTGCCAAAAGGGCCAGGTGCAACTATCTGCCTAGCTTTAGAGGGGCCCAACTGTCCAGACACATCACTCGATGAATTTCCATGGGGAGAACTCTCACTTGCAACTTGAGGAGAAGCAACCTGTTGCTTTGGCATCGAGACAGGTGATGAAGACTGTGCACCCATATTGTTTTCATTTGCCTTCTGCTGTGCAAGCACCCTAGGCTGCATAAGCGGAATAAGCTGAGCCATTAAGTCGGCATTTGCAGGAAGTGACAAATCAAAATTACGCTCACGTACCAAAGCCTGTGCCACCATTGCAAGCTGATTGTTTGCCATGTTTTGGATGCTTTGTTGAGACTTCGGTGCATGCATAGGCCTTACAACATTGGCCTGCACTAATTGGCCCATTGATGTCGGCTGGATTGGAGGCTTTGAATCACTCCTTTGATCAGAGACTGCCTGTTGCACTTGCTGTGTGTGCTTCTCAGCACGGGCAAAATATTCAGATGGTTTCTTGGATGATGATGATGCCTGGGCTTGGTTAGCCGCCTGAATGGACATGAGCTCCTGCAACTGCAGATTACCCATCCTTGTGTCTTGATCCTTCCCCGATAGAGGCCCCATCATTCCCATTTTTGCTTGCATCTGAGATTGAATCCCTGGGGCTGATTTCTGTTGGGCTGCCTGGAAAGGATATTGGAGATAACTTTGATGGACTGGATTCAGAACTTGTTCAATGCCTTGACTCCTATTTTGGCCCTCCTCCCGAATGTGGGCCACACCATGCGGTTGAGCCAAATCAATGAAATTCCTGGACTGTTGAGGTAGTTGCATCACATTAGGAGATGAAGAGAAATTGCCTCCAGGCAAGACTCCATGGAGAGCACCAGCTTGGTACACTCGAATGGATTCATTTCCTTCAGGTTTTCTATGCAATTGTTGTTGAAATGACTGCACCAACAACATCCAAATGTAAGCAACTACATATGCAACGTCAAAAATATTAACACCAAGCAACAAGTGTTCAATGAGTTTACTAGGAAACCTACTATTATACAGGAACGACATATCAACACACAGTAATATAATATATGCTGCATATATTACTGCTACACGGTAATTTTGATATGTGTTCCATGATCCCATCTTCACCATTCAATAGAGACCTAAACACCATGAATAGGACTTGACAGTAAAACCATTTCCACTAAAAGACTCACTAGCATATCAAGAGTTGTGAAAGTTGCACCACTTCCACCAAATAAGTTGAACAAGTTTTTCTGAATTATTTATATTTTTAAAAATTAGTAGGGGAAAAAAGAAAGAAATGCATTGCATTGCACCAGACCCCGTCAAAGTACTTCTTTTTAACGTATAAATTTCCGTTAAAAGGTCATATAACCTAGAAAAAACTTCAGTTTAGAATTCAAGATAATATAACACACATAATGTTTCTAAACAACTCAAAATGCAAAAATATGGTGCAAAGAAAAAAAACACGCGTCTCATAATGTAAACAAGAAACATTGGAAAAATCCAAGTAATTGTGGCACACAGTTATGCCCTGTGAAAGATCCAATGTTTCTTTCAACTTCTTCCTTAGTGAAACTCACTACACCATGTTCAACAATGATCAAACTTTTGATCTTCGACAATTCAGTCCCATATAACCAGTAGATTGAGTATACTTCCAAAGCCAAAAAATGAAATACCCCACTTCATTGCTGCCACACCTCATCAAATATTCCAATCCCTTATTTGAGTAAAAAGCACAAAATAACAAGATAAAGAATGGCAGCCCACAGTTAGATCAAGACAAGGCCCTTTATGGTGGGAAGGAGAAGAAAAAAGAATCAAGAAGCTGGCATCAAAGAACAGGATATAACCTTTGTTAACAGGAGTTTATAAACAGCTGATAGTTTACCATCAGTTACCATTTTCCTCTAAATAAGGATAATGCCTAATTTAACTCCTTGAGCAGCTAAATTGATTGACTGAAAGTGAAATTGATATTTTCATCAAAATGTTCTAATCAACTCCATTTAATTACACCATTGTCCAATCCAATCATAAACCAACAGCTCTTCATAGCAAAGGGGAAAAAAAATAATAAATTAAAACCAAAAAAACTACCCAGAATTTACAATCAAATGCTAATGGCCCACAAAAGTGCAAATATACACTTTAGATTTGGAATTTGGGTAATTTTCTCGTCATTTTTTCAACTCCTATAACCAAAACATCATCATTTCCAACACCCATAAAATATATATGTGTATATATATATATATATTAAACTCCTGCGGGCCCGCCTCCTTGAACTCTAAAAGTAGCAAAATTGACATGTAGAAAACTTTTAAACTGAGTAGACAATTGATCAATTTTATTGAGCAGTGAGAGACACACCCTAATGTAGTAATCAACTCCATTAATTACACAATTCAGTCCAACCCGCTTTATAAAACAATCCCAATTTCAAAACCCATTTGTCAATTCAACAAATAAAGACAAACTGCACCATTTTTATACCAACCCTTACCTGCCTCTGCTGTTGCTGTTGTTGCTTTTGCTGCTGCTGCTGAATTGAATCAAACCCTAAGTGCGGTGTCGCGGACGACGAAGACGACGGCGATGCCGAAGAAGATGTAGGACCCACCACCGCCGGATTCCGCCCATGGCCGGCGGCTCCGCCCCCGCCTCCCGATTGCATGCAAAAATCTCTGACACAACAACAACAACAAAATTGAAAATTTAGTTGTACACTCCAACTGACAAACCCCTCCAAAATTCACACGAATTCCTATACGTTTAAAGGCCCTTTTGGACACCGATGTCAACGTTCAAATGACGTCTCTGTCTCTGTCTCTGTCTCTCTCTCTCTCTCTCTCTCTCTCTCTCTCTCTCTCTCTATATATATATATATACGTGTGTGTTTCTGGTTTCTCTCTCTAAAAGGCGATGATTTTACTGCACAATGCACATAGAAGATTGGGCATTTTTTTAGCGCCAATTTGTGGGGCCATTGGAAGATCGATCTTGTGGCCGGCGAGCCCCCGAAGTTGCCGGAATCATCTGATTCGACTCTCTCTCTTTCTCTGGAAATTTCACAGAAATTGCATTTCAGTCAAGCCCTAAGCTGTATTTTAAAGAGTTCTTTTTTTTTCTCTCTCTCTCTCTATATATTTTTTCTTTATTTATTTTTATTTATTTTTTTTTTTTTTACCACTTTGTACCAACTCTGATGTCAGGGTTTAGTAACTGTGGTTAGGAAGAAAGGACAGAAGTAGAATTTTGCCCTTAAAGTTAGTGATTTTTACAATGAGGCCACAGATTCTTGTAATCCTTGAAAATCTGGTATAATGGTATTGCACATTTTGGGATTGTTTGGAATGACCTAAATAAATGTATTTTTTATCTTTTTATGAAAAGATGTATAAAAAAATAAAAAAGTAATATGATAAAAAAAAATAAAAAGATAAATTATTTTGATATTACTAAACTTAACCTTAATGAGGGATAAGGGTCATTAATGAGACCCTGAGCACAGCACAGTTGGCTTGAGAAAGGTTCTCAAGTTGCATTTGGCGTGACTTCGATTCTTTTTCGTTGTGCAAGTGTAACTTAGGTCAAGTTTGACATGTATTCAAAAAGTTAAAAAGTCAAAAATATATTTAAAAAATTATCATTATTTCTTAAAAGTCAAAAAGTACGGCTGCACAACTCTCAGCCTGTGTTTGGCAAGTGGGTTTGCAGGTTTTTTTGGCTATTTTAGTCACAAAAAACAAAATAGGCTATTTTAGTTATAACAAACAAAACATCACATCTAACCCATAATCATTACATTCTTCTCTCACAAAAAAACTCAAAAAAGCCAAAAAGCCAAAAAGCCTTTCCCAAACCAAGCTTTTAAGCCCAGGCTAAAATAGCCAAAAAAATCAAAAAGCCAAAAAGCCAACCCACTTCCCAAACCAAGCCTCAATCTTAATTTTTTTCTACACACTCCCTGAGCACAGCACAGTTGGCTTGAGAAAGGTTCTCAAGTTGCATTTGGCGTGACTTCGATTCTTTTTCGTTGTGCAAGTGTAACTTAGGTCAAGTTTGACATGTATTCAAAAAGTTAAAAAGTCAAAAATATATTTAAAAAATTATCATTATTTTTTAAAAGTCAAAAAGTACGACTGCACAACTCTTAATCTTAATTTTTTTCTACACACTAATTTATATAATTTTTTAATACACATTTTTTCATAAAAAGTCAAAAAGTTAACCGAAACAACTATTTTTTTGTCCTCAATTTTTTAGTCCAAAAAGTCAAAAACTACACTTATTTAGGACATCCTAAACAACCCCTTAGGGGTGATTTGGAATGTTTTAAATAAGTGTATTTTTTATGAAATATATGTTGGGGTTAAAGTGATATGGTAGAGAGGTAATATGACTTAAATAATATAGTAATTTTTTGACTTTTTTAATATGTGCCAAAAAAGACTTTAAATAGAGTTTGTATTGAGAGGTCGGTGTAAATTTTGAGATTGTACTCTCTCATCAGGAATGAACAAAGGATAAGTAATTAACATTAACCAATTACATAATAATGTTACTATAATCAACATTCTCATATCTTCCATTTATTATATATTTGATTGTTACAAAAGACGACATATGCTATAGATTCATAATTTAGAATTTGTGAATATGGTCTCGTTTGGTAAAATTGTGAAAAAGTGATTATAAATTATAACTTAACAGATTATGGTTTATAACTGTGAATATAAGCTGTTAACCTGTTTAGTGCAGCTGTGTGATTATGGATTTAAGCAACAGAGTAGTGTTTGGTTAATAAGCTGTAAAATAACTTTTTACTGTGTAATTATCTTTTTTGCCCTTATATGATATAAAAATGATTATTTTGTCATTTTTTTCAGTTTTAATTTTTAGAAAAATTATTTCATTAATAAAAGTTAATATAATTAGTATTACAAAAATTATCATTTCATTAATAATATCATAAAATTATTTCATTTTTTCATTATAAATTAACGGTGATACTACATGCACCAATTAGTATATGCACTAGTGTACCAACTAGTATTATGATATTATTATTGATCACATTTATTATACAAGTTACAATTACCCAAAATCATACAAATGATGTCACGTTATCTGTTAGTTGTCATGACCCGAACCCGCCCCCATAGGTTAAGGGCATAACCGACCAGTAATCGAGGGATTACCTACGGCCTCAAACTAAATCAGACATAACTCAACAGAGTAGAGGGGCCAAACGAAAGCAAAATTTAAAACTTTGTCCATAGAGCTGTGCTTACATGGCACATCATAATAGACTACACATGTACATATTAATAACTCACACCAAAATACAGTGACATAAAGTTCTGTATAGACAAGATCATTAAAGTCTAAGTCAGCCTATCAAAACTATATACAAACGGTTCCAAAGTCCTCACCAACATAACAAAATACAATAAGATAACTAAAGGGTGACGACGAGTCTCGTGCGTGAGACGTAAGGCTGACTCTTCAAAACCTTGGTTGTCCCACACAAACTTCACTGGGCTGGGTTTGGACCTCTCTTGGCTTACCTACAAACACATGAATGAGCGTGAGCGAAAGCCTAGTGAATAATATCAAATAAAGAAGGTGCATTAGGGCAATAAACATCGGACGACCTTGGCCCCAATTCATATTTCTATTTAATATATATATATATACATAGGTTAAACAGCTGCGGTTCCAAACACATCGGACGGCCTCGGCCCCAATCCATTCATGTCAGACTGGCCTTTGGCCCATTCATTCTTTCATATCAAACTAGCCTTTGGCCCATTCATTCTTTCATGTCAAACTGGCCTTTGGCCCAACCAATCTTTCATTCAAATCAAACTGGCCTTTGGCCCATTCATTCATTCCTTCTTGTCAAATTGGCCTTCGGCCCATTCATTCATTCATGTCCAACTGGCCTTTGGCCCATTCATTCTATCGTTCAAATCATACTGGCCTCTGGCCCATTCATTCATTTATGTCAGACTGGCCTTCGCCCCATTCATTCATTCATTCGTGTCAAACTGGCCTTTGGCTCATTCATACTTACATGACAAACTGGCCTTTGGTCCATTCATTTGGCATAGCAAACATTGTCCACCAATCAAATTAACAAACTTATAAACTTACATAGAAGTAAGCGATTGGACAACAACATATTTCAGATATCTTTGTCAAGATATTACTCACAGTGATCTACTGGTTGGTTTGCCCTAGAGCTTGACCCTACACATCACATAACACATACGGGTCACAAATAATTTAATCTGTTCTTTAATTCACATATTCCTCTTTATGCTTTATTTTTATCCCTTTAACTCATTTACAATGCTCAATGCATGCCTAAGAGTACTTAGAAGTGAAAGAGAACGGAAAACGAAACAGAATGTGTAGACGCGCCCGGGTGAGGCCTTCGCTACAGTTCGGACTCGATTTGTGTCACGGTTCTTAATCTGAACCAAAGAGTCCAAATCTGGCAAATTGTTTTGAGAAACAGATTTTTGAAAAGAAGTGCCAAACATGGACTGCTTTGCCAGATACATAGTCGCCATCTAAATATTTTTTATGGGGGAATTTAGGAAACCCTGACTCGGTGCCGAAGGCCACATGTCCGTCATCACCGGAGTTTCTCGGCTCGGGAGCTAGGGTATGATTGGGGAAGGTCAGCTATGAGCACCCCCTCTCACCCGATCCGAAGATCGGCCTTTACTAACCATGATATCCGTTTTTGAAAATATTATGTGTTCTTATTCCAATTGTTAGCCTAGAATTACTATGTTATGCGCACAACAAACAAGTATAGACCAAATCGACAGCGTAAAGCAAGTGGGGAGCATAACAATGCTGTGAAAATACAAATATATAAATGGAGCATACGGTCTACGCAGGCAACGAAATTAATCATAAGCATGCGGTCTACGCAGGTAATGAAAGTAACAAATAATGCGGTCTACGCAAGCAATACATGCGGTCTACGCAGGTAATGAAATTGAACAATAGTGCGGTCTACGCAAACAAAACATGCGGTCTACGCAAGTAG